GTGCATAACCCTGGGTTATCATCGTTCTAAAACCTGCTTTTAACCCTCCATAAATGTTCGTGTCACACTTTTAATTTAGTAGCAGGGTTAGCACCGCTTTTACCCAGGGCACGGATTGTGCACTGTTAGAATGTTATACCTAGATACTTAGCAGCTGACAGCCAATCGTGCCCATATCCACATGATTTAGACAGTCATGAAAACACTGCTCATTGTATGAACAGTCATTGGTGACAGAAATAGTGACATAACCCTGAATAGGAGTAAAGAAGAGACTGCGTTATTCTTACCTTTACAGTCCACTGAAAAGGCCATTCAGGAAAAACTTGATAGTATGGAATGTAGAGTATAATACGAGGAGCCATTTCATGCTGTGTTTGTCCAATCAATGGCACTGACACCACAAAAAGAACGCACAGTGTGAATGGTCATCTTATGAATACCCAGTATTAATTGTTAATTGAGCGATGTGAAACAAGAATCAAGATAACCCAGGATTCCATTTACACCAGGGTTTTTAAATGACCCAGGGTTAACTATTTCAAATGTGAAAAGCCTTTTTGTGTTTAACAGCACAACAATAAGCAATCGACTGACTGATTTCTTGTTTATAGGAATCAACAGTCTGCTGGGCAGTGGTGTCTACACAGAGGCCTACCCATTGCATGATGTGAGTGACGCCATATTTTGTTCTTCCAGTTTTCTCCAACTGATTGTTAATAATGAATAATTTCATATTTTTACATACAGGGTGATATTGATGGTGTACATGCTGAAACCAATGACAGAAAGGTAAAATACATTACGATACTCATACTAATATACTAATAATATTTCAATATTTACAATACAACACCTCAGGTTTTGCTTGTATAGAAAAAAGCTGTCACCATAATACTTATGAGTTCTAATACCTCACTGTTTCCTCACTATGTTAGCAACTGTCCTCCACATTAACTGAGTGACCAAATAATCTTTGAAGTGACCCCCGGCAGTAGTGTTTAAGGACTACATATGTGACCCTGGACCACAAAACCAGTCTTAAGTCGCTGGGGTATATTTGTAGCAATGGCCAACAATACATTGTATGGGTCAAAATTATTGATTTTTATTTTATGCCAAAAATCATTAGGATATTAAGTAAAGATCATGTTCCATAAAGATATTTTGTAAATTTTCTACTGTAAATATATTAAAACTTAATTTTTTATTAGTAATATGCATGACTGAGAACTTCATTTGGACAACTTTAAAGGCAATTTTTTCAGTATTTAGATTTTTTTTGCACCCTCAGATTTTCAAATAGTTGTATCTCGGCCAAATATGTTCCTATCCTAACAAACCATACATCAATGGAACGTTTATTTATTCAGCTTTCAGATGATGTGTAAATCTCAATTTCAAAAAATTGACCCTTATGTGGTTTTGTGGTCCAGGGTCACATATTTGGTTTGTGCTGTATACACTGTTCTGAAAAAAAAAAAAAGATTTGAATCATGCAAAAAATGGATTTGGGACACATTTATATTTTTTATATTAGTTTTATATTACAATTAAGAAGAAAAAAAAAACTATAGTAATATGAATAATACATTGTAATTAATTTTAGTGTTATAGTCAATTTTATAATATATCTTTCTTACTTACCGTAACTGATTTCTCAGTTGCTAATATTAATTATAAATATGTGATACTGTGCATTATTTTGTATCTAGTGGTATTGATACAATTAAATATTACCAGGAATAAAATGTTGTGTGTATGTAGAGGAAGCAGGACACTTTCCTTAAAACACAAATTAAGATATTTCTGAACGTGTTTTAACAGGTTAATCAAAAATATTTTTCTTTAGATGAACATTATGGTGACTGCAATTTTTGAAGTGTCGGGCAGCACACAGAAACTGCTGCCTTGTACCTAGGGTGATAGGAGATAATGAAGGCATAATTCAGAGATTTGCAAGGCCAGAAAAGTGCCTGCAATAAGGTTTCCAGCATTCAGATGAGATCAATCAATCGGATATATAAAGTGATAAATTCTTCCATTCCAATCTCTAATCTCTGTGTTCTTCACTTTACCATCTGTAGAGAAAAGAGTTGTTATCATTTAATCCTCTCTACATCTGCTCTCTTAGACTGTTTTGCATTTTAATCAATACATTTAAATTCGTCTGAATATTTCTTGAACCCCGTTTTACCTGTTTGAACACTTTTATGGCATACTGTAAGAATCTGGTAATTGAATCTCATGTTGACCACTTAAGATATAATTAAACCCTATAAATGGGCTGCAAAATCCTAGCTTGTGTAGAGGAGACCTGGTGAGACTCTGGACTTGCCTGCAGCAAGCTCAGAATAATTGTCAGGTCACTAAGGCAACAGGATCATTTCCCACTTCAGCCATCTGTGAGCAGTGCTTATTTTCAAGAACTAAAAAAAAAAAAAAAGAGTAAATGTTTCATTTTTTTCACAGCAAACCTCAAGGGACCTTGGAGAGAGTTGGCGTTTTGGTTCGTTTAGTGTGTTAATTTGCGTGCAAATACAGTAGATGCATCACAGGTTCATAAATATATTAAGCAGCACAACTTGTTTCAAACTTTGATAATAAATCAGCATATTAGACTGATTTCTGAAGGATCATGTGACACTAAAGATTGGAGTAAAGGTTGATGAAAATTCTGCATTGCATCACAGAAATAAATTATATTTTAAAGGGATCATCGAATGCAAAATTCACTTTTGTTGTTGTTTGAACATAAATGCGTGTTGGAAGTGTGTGTGTACACATCCACCCTATAATGATAAAAATCCACCCAGTGTTTTTTTTTAAATCCCTATTTTAAAATCCCCTTTCTCAAATCAGGCTGTTCTGAGATTCCTGTCAGAATGACATAGTTCTGCTCAGGCCCCTCCCACGATAGTTGATTGACAAGTCCGTCTTACCTTAGACCCGCCCTGAGTGAGCTGTCATCAGTCCGCCATTGTGTCGACTCCGGTGCAGGGGAAGACAAGAATGTCTCCGATTAAGCGATTGAGGTGTTTTGTTGCTGGATGTAACAATGAACATAGCAGTCGTCATTTACTGCCGACATCTGAGCCGCTGAAGACACAGAGGATTAATGTTACTTTCGTTTTTGAACGGAATTCGCAGGTCCCCGATCTGCCTAAATGCGTTTTAAGTTTGCGCGAATCATTCGTGATCTAGCTTCATCTACAGAAGAAGTGAGTATAGGTTTATAAGGGTTTTTAATTAATCTTTGCAAATCGCCTTTCCTAATAATGTGCTAGTTAGCAAGTTTAACGGCTGAAGTTTACAGTCTGCTCGTCACCCCACGGAAGAGAGGGGCGGGGTCAGCAGAGCTCATTAGCATTTAAAGCAACATGGACTAGAACGGCGTGCTGAAAACAGAGCTGATTTTGACAGGGTAAAAAGGGTGTTTTTTACACTACCATTGAGACATTTTAACCAAAGTATGTTATAGACTTTTCATTAAGACCCTGAAGAATCATATCAACTTGTGGAAAATGGGCATCCGATGACCCCTTTAAAGGATATTAAAATAAAATGAAAATATTTTAAATTGTAATAATATTTATCAATTTTTTGATCAAATAAATGCAGCCTTGATGAGCATAAGAATCTTATGCTGAGTGGTCACTGCTTGTTTACTTGGTGGTTAATCCATCCATTTCCACTAGTTTGACCCATTCAAGGCGATTTGTGGATATGTTGAAAATATAATCCTAATGTGAATGCAACAAGCTCAAGGGAGACAAAACGGACCCTGTCTGCTTCTCAGATTTATCTGTTGGTTCCACTGTTGAATGTTGTTATTAGAGGGTTGTGCATTATTTGATGTCATATTTCATAATGTTTTGGCCTTCCCTCCCTTGCTTTCTCAGACAAAACACTTCTTTTCTTTGACTTAAGTGTGTTCTGGAGACTGGAGATCTCTGTGCAGCTGTGTTGTAAATCTGCCTTCACTTACTCATATAACTGTAGTACATTACATCCCCAGGAGCACCGGACCGAAGTCATTACATTCGAAATTACTAACATGATGGTAGAGAGAGCCTTCATTTGTCCTTTTCATCATTGTTCACTGGAATAATCAGTTATTTTGCCATTTCAATTAAACCCCTAAGTGCACGCACTGTGTATTTCAGCCATGCTGTATGAATGGAAGTTGAATCGTTGTTCCAGGATGTATGTAATTTTAGTTCTGTCTTTGCAGATCTTGTATGAACAGTGGGCGAGTTACAGCATATTCTACAAGTACCAACCCATCGGACTAGTCAGGTATCATCCTCACAATAAATGCACTGCCAGAGGCCGAGACAGATGTTTGCCCTGGAGTTATGATCTATAAAGAAGGGATATTTTAGGAATACCTTACTGACACGCATTATTCAGGAGTCAGATTGCCAAAAGCCCTATTCAGACAGGATTTGTTTAAAGGACACAGTGTAGCTGTGGATGTCTGTAATGTTTATCATCAGGTTATTTAGGATGAGCAATGTCTGGCAAATAAGTGAATATCTGATGTCAAATAAGTCTGTTTACTGCAGGGTCATAGTTAACTAAATCAAGCAATTAAAAAAAAAATCGTTATTTTAAATAATATTAATTGAAATAAAATAAAGAATATACGTATATAAAATATATTATTTGTGCTAGATTTCTAAGGCAACATTTCTGAGTTTTGTTTATCTACTTAAAGTACTAAAATAACTAAAACTAAAGTAAATAAACTCAAACTAATTTTGGAAAAGAAATAATAAGAGTAAGCTGTAATTAAAATATGTTCTTTATACTTATTTCATTACATAACATGACATTTTTAGAATGAATAGAATTGAATCTTTTGTTGACGTAACCTTTCATTGCACATTGAAAAGACTGAAAATCAATTTACACTATTTTTTTCTAATGTTTACTACATAGTAATTAACACTTCTTTTGCTTGACTTCATTGTCTTTATTGCTCTACTTGAAACTGCTTTATCCCTCTCAGGAAGTATTTTGGTGAGAAAGTGGGCCTGTACTTTGCCTGGCTGGGAGTGTATACTCAGATGCTAATCCCAGCAGCAATTGTGGGAGTCATTGTGTTCCTGTACGGCTGTGCCACTGTGGACGACAACATCCCCAGGTCACCTTATGAAATTTATTTGATTGGTTTGTTTGCATTGTTTTTGTACAAAGAAACAAGTTTCAGCAGTGTCTCCCAACAGCAATACATACTCTTTTGCAATGGCTTTATGAAAGTAATCACTGTTGCTCTTTGCAAGAATAATGGATGGATGTTGAAGCGTGTGGTAATTAGGGAGTTCAGAGTGGGTTTGAAATGGTGCGACTGTAATGGACTGTAATGTAGTGTATAATGAGAGTGACTCAGTGTTCACTGGCCGTCTCGGAGCGACATTCATTAATTCCACAGATGCCACAGCTGAAAACAAGCTGTTCCAAAACCTACCTAGGAAAAAATTGAAGCATTATATGGACACCACTGATATGAAGTACTGTATGTTTCAAATAGTAGCCAGCAGAATTATGCTGCTTTTACACTGCAAGTTACACCGCAAGCTTTAATGTTTGCAGAATACCAGTGAATTGCTGTAAACGTCTATCCACAGAAATGGAAATTGTGCAAAAAAAAAAAAATTCACATTAAATTTACTGCACGTACAGAGATGAAATTTGTGAGAAGCAGCATTTACTGTTAACTGAGATGTTTTGATGATATTAAAATAAAAACTGTAATCTGTAACACAATGCCGCTTTTTACTCTGAAACAGGCAGTGCAACAGACTATTTAGTTATCTAATTAAATTGCAGCCTTTAATTTGATAACAGCCATTTATTTATTTTAATCTTACATTTGATTTAATTTTGAGCTTTTAATTGAACTCCATGCAATTCCCTCACAAACCCCCAGGGGTTATAATTAAATAACACTGTGAAACTGTAATCAAATACAACGTTGAGTTGCCAAAATGTTATTTAAATTTTTAAATTATTGATTTTAGTTTTTAGTGTTTCATTTGAAATTTATTTGGACATTTTCTTACATTTAATATAATTATCGGAAGTAGTTAGCATAGCAACATGCTAAAGCATGAGTGCCCAGTTTCTTATGCATTTCATGTGAAGATCACTATTTGCGCAGTGCATACAGTTGCTGCTTTTGTAGAACACTTCATATTAGCCATCACATCTATTTAGACATCAAAGCAACTCACTATGTTTTGGAACAAGAATACAGAAGCTGAACACAGAATAAATGTGTTTTCCTTCAGAAATAATAAAAGCTAACAAGGTAAAACCTAAAAAAAAATATGAGGGGAAAAAATACACTGCAGCCTTAATTAATAGCTTTACAGATAAACATTACGGTGTCTAGGGAAACATGGAGACGTGATGCATTTCTGAAATCAGGTTTTCTTCTTTGTGTACTCAGTATGGAGGTCTGCGACGAGAGAAACAATATCACCATGTGCCCAATGTGTGACCGAGCCTGCAGCTACTGGAAACTGGTCACGGCTTGCGGCACGGCTAGGGCCAGCCACCTGTTCGACAATGCGGCCACCGTCTTCTTCGCCATCTTTATGGCACTATGGGGTCAGCAGCTCTGTTCTCCTTTCATGTTCACCCGCATGCTTTGTTGCTGCTGTACACCAACTGTTGTGTCTCTACATATTGAGGACAGACTTGCTCTGACAAATGCTGAAGAGATTTGTGCCCTGGTTTTACACTTCTCTTTAAGTCCCCCCTGTACTCATCCCCGCTCAAATGCTGAGCTTCTTAAAAAGCTGATTATTTTGGCTAAAGCCCTAAATTTGCTTTTCCTGTTTTAATCCCCTACAGTTACAGGCTTTGAAATTAAAAATGACACCCTATGACAAGGCTACTTGCTAACTTGAGTCCTCTTTAAAAGATTTAAAGTGAGCCGATTTTTAAGTGAACCAGAAAGTGAATCGAGTGGAAAGAGAATCCAGTTCTTTTTGCATTCATACTGCTGAGCTTGAAAGTGGGTTCAGATCTCTTTTTGTTTCACGTTTGTTGTGATCGGTTCTCAATCCACTTTCCATTTACACTGACCTAAAGTTAACTGTATTCAGAGCACTTCCTCAGATAGTTTGGTTTAGTTCTCTTTAAAGGGGTCTGAGGTTGTTGTGAACATTTACATATAAGCTAAAATTGTAAACCGGACTCAAATGGTTCAAATTAACCAAGTGTGAAAACACCATTAGAATAGATTCCCGAAAAAAGGTTTTACAGCCCAATGTTATAGGAGAACCTTCCATGGTTCCTAAGAAAAACACCTATGTATTAGTGATATCCAAAGTTACAAGGTATGGAAATGAATGAAAGAATATCGAAAAATAATTGTTTTAGCATTCAGACTCAGATCTCTTTCTGGTTCACTTTGGTTGTGATCGGTTCTCAATCTACCTTCCATTCATACTGGCCTAAAGTGAACTGCATTGAGAGCACTTCCTTAGATGGTTTCAAGTTCTCTTTTAAAGGGATCTGAGGTTGTTGTGAGTGTTCACATATAAGCTGAATTTATGAACCAGACTCAAACACAAAACAAACTGTGTGAAAACACCTTTAAAATACAAGTTCCCAAAAAGTTTTACAGCCTGATGCTATTGGAGAACCTTCCATGGTTCTTTAGAAAACATTTATGTGTTAGTGATTTATGTGTTAGCTGACCTAATGTAAAGTGTATTCAGAACACTTCCTCAGATGATTTCAGTTTAGTTCTCTTTAAAAGGGTTCACACATAAGCTAAAATTGTGAATTGGATTTAAACGCTTAAAACAAAATGCATTCAAATATAGGTTCTAAAAATTTTTTTTTACAACCTGATGGTTCTTCCATGGTTCTTCAGAGAAAACATTGACGTGTTAGTGATTTCCAAAGTTAGCAACCCTAGAAATGAATGAAATAAGAAGGAAAATATTCTTGATAAGAAGAGGGCATTCTTGGGTTTATTAAAAAAAAAAAAAAAGCTTTTTTATTGATTCAGTGCCATGAAATCAAACTTGTTTTTTCACTGTTTGTTTTTTTTGTCCTGTTTTGTATAGGGAAAACAAAAGGTTTGGAATCGGTTCATTCGCAGTATTAACTAAATGTATTTCCTTCCTAACCTAACAGTTGCATTTTAGTACTAACATATTCTTCATATTATCTTAAAAGTCGTCTTCAAGCATCGTCGTCACATTCTTGCTTGTGTAAAGTATTCCACCAGCACTTATCTATCTATCGGTCTGTTGCTGTGGAGGTCTGGGAGATTCCTGGTCTCTCTTCCTCCGGCCTTACAGGTCAAAAGCTGCTCACTTTCCTTTCGGCAGTCACAGTCTTTCCAGGCTTGCCACTGTTTATGTGGGTAAAATAAGCAGGAGGAATGACTAAAACCTAAAACTGCTGAATGTGGAAAGGAATATTTATTTGTGGTGCTGAGAGCTTTTGGTTTTAAGGATTATACTTTCACTGATTGTCACTGTGTTGCTATTACCAGAATTTCTGTTCTATTCACTGATCATGCACATGGCTGCTCTTGGCTCCATAACCGGTTATCTCTTTCCGCTGTTTTTCACTTTTAAACTGGTTTAAGTCCTGTATATGTTGGGAATTGTTTTCTCTGTTTTTCCCAGAGTCACCCGAGAGCAGAGTATGAGTTCCATGTCATGAAGAAGTCCTTGAAGAAAGAACAATCCCCAAAGGTAGGTCTTTATGAATCCAAGCTTCAGATGAAAAAAAAAAACTCTCAAACTCACCATTCGCTGACCATCTGCTGCAATCTCTATTGCAAACAGAATTGCCAATTGGATTTACACAATGTCTAAAAGTCAGGGTGGTTAACATCTCCAAATAATAATAATAATAATACATGTTTACAACATAGCTAGCGCAATTATGTATTAAAAACATTTAAATTTGAAGACATTTTAACCCTACATTATGACAGATTTAAAGTAATATATTTCAGTGTGGTTCGATTTTGTAGTTAAATTATATGGTATTGTATTATACTTTAATTTTACTTAAATCATTTTAATTATACTTTACATTTAATTCATTACATTTTAAAATTATTATGAATTTTCATCAACCATTACTCCAGTCTTCACTGTGTCCTTCATAAATCGATTATTATTTACTTTTGAAAAAAGGTTCTTATGTTGAAAACCTTTATTCTTATTATCAGTGTTGAAAAGTTTTTTTTGCTGCTTAATATTTTTATAGAAACTTTTTAAATAATAGTGTATCATGGTTTCTACAAAAATATTAAGCCGCAAAATCGGTTTTCAACATTGATAATATCATGAAATGTTTCTCGAGCAGCAAATCAGCATATTAGAATGATTTCTGAAGGATCATGTGACACTGAAGACTGGAGTTGTGACTGCTGAAAATCAGCTGTGCCATCACAGGAATAAATTATATTTTAAAATATACTGAAAATCAAAATTTTTCAATTGTAATGTATCACAATATTACTGTTTGTACTGTCTTCTCCATCAAATAAATGCAGCCTTGGTGAGCATATGAGACTTCATTCAAAAGCATTAAAAAGAAAAAAAATGTAATTATTCCAAACTTTTGACTGCCAGTACTGCCACATGAAATAGCAAACTGTTGTTTGTCATTTTACATATTGATTAATAGGCCCCGTCTTGTCCAAGTGGGTTGTTCTTGGCTAGAATAATCTACAATGTGGACCAGACCATATGCTAATGAATAATTTTGGCTTAATTTGTAGTGTCTGGCACAACACAGGCAATGCTGATTCTAGCAGTATTTTTGTCTGTTGGCTTATGCATGCCATCCTTGCTGTCATAAGGATGTCTGTATTATTGGGTATTACGTATTATGCTCGGTAGATGTTGACCCAGTTGCAGTATACTGAATGTTATGTGACAGCACAGCTGTGAGGCATGTCTAGGGGCTTGATTTTGCTCTACTTGGCTTGACCCTCTCTGTCCCTTTGGAGGCCAAAGCATGCTGGAGGCCTGAGTCTACACATCTGATTTTTGACCAAGTTCCTGTTGCAAGATGTAAGTGTTAGGGTGTGTCTGGATTATATGTTCTGATCTCACATTTGACAATTCATATCTTTTTCTAGGCAGGAAATGTGAAGCTGACATGTAGAGACAGAATGCCAGCATACATGACTATTATCGTCATGATGTTTTTTTTGGTAAGACCTGATTTATTAAATTTTTTTTTCATTATAAGGATGTGATGTACGTAGGTTTTTTAATATGACAATAAATGAAAGGAATTTAATGCTCAGAACATTTTTTTGTAGTTAAATGTACCTTATTTTCAACAACCAGGTAATTTATTTTATTTTGAAATCACATGAGCAGACAAATACTGCTCACTTTATTATCCCTCTATTAGGGCTGTGCAAAAAAATAGAATGCGATTTTCATGCACATCTCGTCAGTAAAGCCGTTTCTGGTGATTAGTAGTAAATCTCCAGCACGTGCTTTCAGATGGGGCGGCATTTACTACACTTCACTGACAAGCTACACAAAATCGCGTTCAAAATCGGCAGTGAATCGCCTGCGATTTTGTGTAGCTTGTGAGTGATCTACGGCTCTGTGTAGTAAATGCCGCATGAAAATGAAAATCGCATTTGTTTTTTTGCCCAGCCCTACCCTCTATTATCAGAAGTTTTCAGTTGCATAATAAAGTAGTCATGGTGACTTAGATCTGGCTTTCTATAATTGCATTGGTAACCAATAATGTTGTCTTTTGCATGATGCTGTATCCAGTCTCTGTTGCTAAATTATTTGATTACAAGTACATTTTCTTATTTTGATCGTTTGTGTGCTCAATGCAGATCTTTGTGACCTTGGCCATCGTGTTTGGTGTGGTGCTATACAGGGTCTCCATTATGACTGCCCTGCACATGAGTTCCACTCCCACGTTCCGCACTAATATACGGGCCACCGTTAAAACCACTGCTGCTATCATCAATCTCATTATCATCATCATAATGGATGAGGTCTATGGAGCAATTGCACGTTGGCTCACTATTATGGGTACGTCTGGTTATTGACTGCAAGACATTTAGTTTGCCAGATTTGTTGCAAAACATGTTTACAGAACTTGCTGTTGTTTTCAACCTATCAGAGGTGCCAAAAACTGACAAGAGTTTTGAGGAGAGGCTGATCTTCAAGACATTCATATTGAAGTTCGCAAATGCATTTACCCCTATTGTGTACCTGGCATTCTTCAGAGGCAGGTGAGAGTATTGGTACCAAGGAGTCACTCTGAAACTGAACGGTATGAGATACTTGGTTATTATCAAATCTACAATATGATTTCCATTTGTTAGTGCGACAAGCTCTGTTCCCAAACCTAGTGAGCTGTCCTGCTGTCTAAGTGACTGATTTGGAACGAAGTACAGTATAGACAGCTGCTCCTTACAGATAGTGCTTCTCACATGGAAAACATGAAAGATATTGATGTTAACGTGTTGCTAAGCTAGTAGATTTTGGGTAAAATACTGGGAGTAGGTGTGGTGTGTTAGGGTTTACGTGGGTACACTTAATGTCACCACACTCTGGATCATTTGCACAGGTAGTGCATATAGGAAGGTTAGACCATTGCAGTAGTCCTGTCTGGAGATGACAACAGCCTTGAAAAGGAATTGGCCAACATGCTTTATTCTCAAATTCATGTATCTGGATGATATGTCCCAGTGATTGTTGTGTATACTGAAAAGTGTAAGGGGCCAAATACTGAGCCCTGGGGTACCCCCATGAATAGTTGATGTGATTTAAATCCTGCTCACTTCTCAGATACCTTATAAATAGTAGAGTAAGATGATTTACACTTGCAGACATATCCAGCAGAATGAAGACAACTAATCAAGAGGCAGGTTTTGCCAGCCGCATGGCTTCAGTGACAAGGTCTCTGATTAATTTCTGCTTTTGAGTGTCTGCTTTTGAAAATACTTAATCTACTAATTTCACCAGGAACCTTCGATTACTGCCATTTTCTCTCTGAAGTTTGGTCTCACGAAGAACATCAGATGTTCAGGGGTTGGTGGGCGTTTTGCGCAAACAGGCCTGGAGGAGAGAGGACAGATTCTGTCTAGACAAGATGTTCAAGTGGATTTAAATGCGTTACTTACATAAGAGAGGAGGAGCTTTTAGCTGGGTGAACAGAGGTGGGCGATCATAGAAACAAGTATGAGGGAGTGGAGGTTATGTTGAAAGAAAACCAGCGAAGAGTGTGCAGCAGGCAAGGTGGAAATCACAAATGTGCAATGGAGTAACAAGGACATTGTCTGTGGTACAGTTACTTGTGTAAATGAGGCCCGGTAGGTTTCCTGATTTGTAAGTTGGTAAATTGTTGAGGTCAAACAAGGCTAGGAGAGCTTAGAAGGACACAGCATGAGGCTTATCCGGGGTGAATGTTTAATTAACCAAGAACCACAGCTGGGCTGCCATCTTCAGGGTAGGAAGATAATAGCACATCCAGCTCTTCTGAAAAGTTCCCCAGCTGACATGTAGGCTGATATATAACAAACAATACAATTTTGTCTTAGTAATTGCATGCAATTCAAATGGATTATTGAGAGCTGATTATTTGTTTACTCATGACTTGCAGTTTGATTTGAGGAGTAAGTTGCAAATAGCTGACAGACTTGTCATATTGCATGGTGAACAACAATCAACACATAAAGGAGAAAAAAAGGTAGAAATAAGTGCCTTGCTGGAGTCCTTTTTCACTGGACGTGCACTTGCAAATTATTACACAAGTTCTTTAAAAAAGGAGGGATTCACATGTTAAGGATAGTTTGAGTGCATGAGTTACCAGCAATTAAGTGAAAATAGTTAACGCCTTTTAGATTAACAATACAAAGATTATAACGTCAAAGGCTGGCAAAAATACTGCAGGACGGCTGCCGCCCTACAGCATCAGTGCAATTAATACATATCAACACGAACGACTACTGTAATTTCTAGCAACACATAATACTCTAAACAATAGAAACAATGTATTAGACATATACTTACTACTGCAGACTTCCATTGACAAATCACATTGATGCTCTCTTATGGTGCATTCACAGTGAGTCACTGCATTCTTGGTTTCTAGTTAGCATTCCTACTCTTCAGCGGTATCCAATTGTATGAGGCAGTGATTCCATCTTCACTCTCTTTGGTAGTCCCCACATCTTTTCACTAGTCATGCTCCGCTCAGCTTTGTCACAACATTGCTCACTAAAAGTAAATTGTGTCTTGTGGCTTTGTCACTGTGTATGGCTGCCAGTGTGAACACACCTTTAGAATTTGGCCAAAATTAGGTCTCGTCATAGTATAAATTAGGTATCATTCTTGCTGGAATACACATGGAAAAAAAGATAATTGCGATTTTTGATTTTTTTTTTATAATAGATTTTCACGATTTTTACTTTTTTCTTTGAATTCTGAGTTTACATCTCGCAATTCTGTTTTTTTTTTTTTTGCACCATGTAATAAAAAAATAATAAAGATAATTGCAACTTTTTATCTTACAATTCTGTCTTGTTTCTTGAATTTGCGAGTTTTTACCTTGCAATTCTGAATTTATATCTCTCAATTCTAAGAAAAAAAAGTCCAAATTGTGATATATAAACTTAGAATTGCAAGAAAAAGTCAGAATTATAAGATAAAGAGTCGCTATTACCTTTTTATTTATTTATTTTAACCCGTGACAGAAACAAGCTTTCATAAACACCAGCTTAGGCCATCATCATTGAATTTCTGTACCCCTCCATGCTGGTTCATACAAAATAGTGCTGGCTTGGATCCACATCTGTTCATTAGCCAAAGATGCTGGTCTACCTGATTGACCAAGGAAGTCCTGCTGAGTAGACTGTGAAGAAGCTGGGTGGAGACACTAAAACATTAGCATTAAAAGCACAACATACATGTGACATACAGTATGCTTCTGACCAATATAATATCGCTCACTAGGTTGTGGAAAAGAGCTACCCCCACCCCGCTTTGACTGTAATGTCTATTTTGTGAATTTTTTCACTTGCATTTGTGCAGCGGCTGGTAAACACAGCTATTGACCTTCTTCTATCCAATGCCTCCAGAATCATTGGACGTCCTGGCAAATATCTCTACGTTATGGGGTCTTACCGAATGGAAGAGGTACATATCTAGCATTCAGCTTCCTCCTTTTAAGTGTGTGTCATTGGTGGTTGGTGCTTTTCAAGAGTACAAGCCATAAAATTGATTTCACAAAGATAAATGACGAATCTCATTGACCAACTGGTGTACACGTGTATATGTATAAGCAAAATCTATTCTTAACCACACGATATTCTTGGAGTCTTGTACCCACATCATCATATGAAAAATAACTTGACAGATTGTCCTAGTTACCTCACTCTTGATGACTAACACTTTCGGAGGTGTGTAGACAGTCAACTCCATAGTAACTGAGTGAAATCTCTCTCTGTTTCACCCTGCAGTGCGCCCATGCCGGCTGTTTGATGGAATTGTGCATTCAGCTCTGCATCACCATGCTTGGCAAACAGCTCATCCAGAATAACCTGTTTGAGATAGGCGTTCCGTGAGTAGCAAACACATGTGTAGATGAAGGAAATCTGATAAATTCCCACTATCCATTATAGGTGTGGTGTACATTTCTAGATGATTGCTTTAGGGAATTATTGTACTTTGACGAGAGCATTGTATGAGCCTTTTTTTTTTCTTCATGAAAAGAGTTTGCTGACCTTTTTTGTGTCTTGCTTGCAAATACATATTATGTTTCTCTTGGACAAATGCAAATATACTGGATTGTAAGCACATCTCAGGCAAATGCCTCTGAAGGTAGTACATGGTAAAAGAAATGCATGAGCAGGTCCAAACAGAATCTCCAAAGTTTTTCCACATTTCCTGATTTTTGGGGGAAATGTGCAGAATCCAATGTGCAGAAGAGTCTGAGGTCACATGTCACAGTTTCCGGGTCCAAGTGCTCCTTCAGATCCCAAAACCAACTCATGGTGTGCTGTACTACCCAAAAATTTCTATAGCAAAATCTTAGCTGGCCAAACAATGATTTCATTTTTATATTAAAATATTGGTCACCGGGATGTCATGAGATAGATAGGCTACTGTATATTGTGCCTGTGACGTGAGGTTCAAATTATTTAATATATGTTAAAAGAATACATATACAACAATACAAAATATTCATCACATTCCAAAGTTTTTAAATCCGCTCACTGATGTGTCTTATTTTGTGTAATATTTGTGTAATTTATTTATTTTATTTTCTGCTTCATCTTATGGATCTCTTTGCCCAATTAACATTCCTTATTATCTATTTTATCTTTGATTCCATATGATCTCTGTAGACACACAGAAATGTTATGGGAATTTAACATAGTGGGCTTTAATATTTTAAGCTAGCCATTAATAGTTTATATTATTAAGTATAATTATAAACACATAATTAGTGGTTGTTTCATTGAGGAATTAATCAGTGTTGTGAAAGCTCTATTTCATTCCCATGAGTTTGTGAGCTTGACATGTCCCTTCTCAGTCACCGTATTTAGCCAAAGTACAAATATTTAAGAAATTATTGCTGATGGTTACTAACTATATCATTATATCAATGCATATAAATGTAAATATATATGCATTGATAAATAAAAAATTTGTCATTTTCAATAATGAATTTACTCACCCTTATGTTGTTTCAAAACTGTGTGAGTTTTGAATATTTTGAAGAATTTTCCAAAACTATTTGGTCACCAACATTCTTAAACGTATGAGTAAATGGTGACAGAATTTTTGTTTTTGGGTCAACCATTCCTTTATTTAACTTCATTCTGCATTGTTTTTAATCAACTTGCTGCTCGATTGTTTCTCTGATTGCTCTAAAAGGGTTTAAGAGGCTTTTTTTTTTCAAATATCTAATCATTATAGTTTACATGTAGTTTTAGGTGTAGTTATGCTCTCATTAAGTAGAGAGAGAGAGTGTGTGTGTGTGTGTGTGTGTGTGTGTGTGTGTGTGTGTGTATGTAATACAGTGTATGTTGTAAACAGGGCAAAAAAATACAGATATCTAATTTAGGTAAATCCAATTAACCAAAATATTGAGTAAACAAACACGGATGGGTGGTTCACAGCAACACTGTGAATCATGACTGTTCAGATGTACATGAGCACATCATGCTTCAGTTCACCAAGTTAGTTATATGCAAAAATCCACAGTGATTATTAATGTATCTGTGCCACAGGAAACTGAAGAAAATGCTCCGACAACGCAAGATAGACAAAAAGCATCAGGAAGAGCTGAACAAAACGCTTCATCGTCACGAGAAGGACCACTTCCTTGGGCCCTTTGTCGGACTCAACCCAGAGTACATGGAAATGAGTGAGTCACTACACACTTCGCGCCCACACACACACACACATACAGACGTAGAAACATTTGTTTGTATTCTCTCCTGGTCCTGCTGGCTGTTTTCCACACTCTTGTAGGAACACGACATCATTAAAAATTTATTGTAATTACAATTTCCGATTATGAGTGATTAAATGCACACTGTCCACAACCGCTAATTGAAATGTTTAAACACAAGTAGACAGATTTATACACCTCATCTGTTCAAAGCACTGTTATATGAGAGTAATTCAAGCCCCTAGACAGCATGCACAGTAAACAGGGTAAACGCACGTCCGTTCTGTGAAGGATCTGCAGTGCTCCTCCTCTCCTCTCATCTCCGCTACAGCGTGGGATGGACTTCTGCTAAGAGAGAGGCATTATGGGTCCAAAGGGGGGCTGGCAGAGCAGCGTGAGATTATGAGCTTTGGTTCTGGCTTGAATTCATTAATAACATCCCACCCCCTCATCTACCATCCTCCATCTATATCTTCTATCCTTCTATCTCTCTCTGTTTCTCCTGTCCCATTCTTCCATCTCTGAGTGTGGCACTACCCAATCTCCTCCTGAGACCCTAAACTAGTAACATTCCGGAGCATCAGCTCAAAATCACATCAAAAAGACAATCCAGGAAGGACCAAGAAGGATTTACAGTTTTGTGAATTACTCTGTGGGCGATTTGATTTTAATGTCTTAAAGGGGTCATATGACGTTGCTAAAAAATAACATTATTT